AACAGGGTGCACCTTGTCCCCGGGGGAGCAGCTCCATGCTGAGTTAAGGCAGAGGAGCCTGCGGTTCCTGGATAAGACCCAGCCACAGAGGAAACCCAGTGGATGGGGGGGACCTGTGCTGACTGCCTAGGTGGTGTCCTGTGGAGAGGAGGGAGGAGAAGTCAAAGTCAGGGATTTCATGCCCCTCGCAGAAGCTTTCTCAGGGAGAAGAGGTCTCATCTAAGATTTTTGTTTGTTTTTTGAGAGTGTCTCGCTCTGTCTTCCAGGCTGGAGTGCAGTGGTGCAATCTTGGCTCACTTCAACCTCTGCCTTGTGGGCTCAAGTGATCCTCCCACCTCAGCCTCCCCAGTAGCTGGGACTGCAGGTGCGCACCACCACACCCAACTACCTATTTTTTTGTAGAGAAGGGGTTTTGCCATGTTGCCCAAGTTGGTCTCAAACTCCTGGGCTCAAGCACTCCTCTACCTGCGTCAGCCTACTAAAGTGTTGGGATCACAGGCAAGAGCCACAGCACCTGGCTTTTTTTTTTTTTTTGAGACAGGGTCTAGTTCTGTCACCCAGGCTGGAGTGCAGTGGCATGATCACTGCTCACTGCAACCTTGACCTCCACAGGCTTAAGCAATCCTCCCAACTCAGCCTTCCAATTAGCTGGGGCTACTGACATGCACCACTACGCCTGGCTAGTTGTATTTTTTGTAGAGACGGGGTTTTGCCACATTGTCCAGGCTGGTCCCAAACTCCTGGGCTCAAGCGATCCATGCACCTCTGCCTCCCAAAGTGCTGGGATGACAGGCACGAGCCACTGAACCCAGCCCTGAGATTCTTTTAGCTCCAGGAATAACTGTGTGAAGGAGAGGGCGTTGCTGAGAGGGAATTTAAAACACAAAACCCTGAAGCAATCCTTCCTGGAGAACAGGGAGTGACCCTGGGCTGGACCATTTTCCAGCCATGGCAGAGCCAGGGGTTTTTATGGAGAAGCTGTGATACTACGAGGCCTCGGGTTAGAGCTACAGACCGAGCTCCTGAGACATCGCCCCTGTCCACGAGCAGCCAGGAGATCACAGAAAAGGCAGCCAGGGTGGTTTTTTTTTTCCTTTTTTTTTTTGAGACGGAGTCTCACTGTTACCCCTGGGCTGGAGTGCAAATGGCACAATCTCAGCTCACTGCAACCTCCGCCTCCCGGATTTCAGCAATTCTCCTGTCTCAGTCTCCTGAGTAGCTGGGATTACAGGCACCTGCCAACACGCCCAGCCAATTTTTGTATTTTCAGTAGAGACAAGGTTTCATCATGTTGACCAGGTTGATCTCAAACTCCTGACCTCAGGTGATCCATCTGCCTCGGCCTCCCAGAGTGCTGGGATTACAGTTGTGAGCCACCGCGCCCGGCCCTCAGGGTGGTTTTCTAGACAGTGATCGTTCAGCTGGGTCTTGAGAAATGCGTAAGGTTTAGACAGGCACAGGCTTGGGAGGGAGGGTTTGGTCAACACTCTTGGACTGTTTTTCCTCACTCAGTGTATCCACACCCAACACTGTCTGCGGGGCACAGGGCTCCCGCCTCCCACCCAGCCTAGCTCTTGGCTCTTCTCACTGGGACACTAACCCAAGTCAGACATACTATTAACCCAGGTCCCTGGGCTCCTGCTGCCTAAGAGGAGCCTCAGCCTGAGCAGGGGCTGTGGCCTCTAGCTGCTTCCCAAATCCCAGAGGAAGGCTCTGGAGGGACCTCCGATTTTCTCAACCCTGTGGTCAGAGCTGGCATCTGCATCCAGGCTCTTACAAAACTTGGTTGAGTGCAAATCTTGTTTTTGATCTCAGAAGCGTAGGAGACAGGATGACAGCCAACCGTTAAACACAAGTGGGGTAGCCACTGTCTGGCACATGATAGGCTCTTAATAACGGGCCTGTCCTTCCCCATTAGCAAAACCCGATTTTTAGTTAATAACAGGTTCTGGTTTAATTCTACAGTATATAAGTGTTTATTACTTTATTACTTAAATAAGAGTCATCTTTTTAGACCATGTCAACGAGCCTCCCGTCTAGGATTCCATCCCTCCTCTCCCTGCTCAGGGCTGGGCATCCTATTTCTGTGCACAGTCACTTTTTTTTTTTTTTTGAGGGTCTTGCTCTGACTCCCAGGCTGGAGTGCAGTGATATGGTTAGAAATCACTGTAGCCTCCACATCCCAGGCTCAAGCGATCTTCCCACTTCAGCTTTCTGAGTAGCTGGGGCCATGGGTGTGCACCACCATGCCTGGCTAATTTTTTATTTTTTTTGTAGAGAGGGGTCTCATGACGTTGCCCAGGCTGGTTTCGAACTCCTAGGCTCAAGCAATCCTCCCACCTCAACCTCCCAAAGTGCTGGGAATGCAGGCTTGAGCCCCCGTGCCTGGCCTAGCCTCACCTACATGTGATCCCCCCGCCTTAGCCTCCCGAGTAGCTGGGACTCTACTCGATTAGACGCTGCTCTCTAGTTCTCTTTATGGGACTTTCTTCTTCACAAGACTGAACACCCTCTGGGTTCAAGAACTGCTGTCTCTTTGACCTGCTCTCCCCCAAGGACTCAGCACGCTCTGAGCCTGCAGAGCCTTCCAGGAGTGCTGGCTGAAGAGGATGTAGCAAGAAATACAGGCGGATTTTAGATTTATCTTTTTCTTTTTCTGCTCTTCCAGTTTTCATTTACAGTTCAGAAGTTATGCCAAAGTCACCTCCCTGTTACACAGAGTGACAATATTTTTCCACTTAACACATCACATTCCAGTCAGGGGACACGGCTTCATGTACCCCCGAGCCTCATCTTTACTCATCCCCTGGGTTGTGTCTCCCCAGCCCTGGTGAAACTGAGCCGATAAATGACAGCGCTGGTTCTGCTGTTCCATCTTGCAGCAGGCTCTTCAGAAATAACCTATGCCATGCAAGCAGTAACACCAGAAATGGGCTGACTCTGATTTCTTTGTTTTTGTTTAGACAGGGTCTAGTTTTGTCACCCAGGTTGGAGTATAGTGGCCCAATCACAACTCACTGCAGCCTCGACCTCCTGAGCTCAAGGCAGCCTCCCAGCTCAGCCTCCTGAGTAGCTGGGACTACAGGCATATGCCACCATGCTCGGCTAATTTTTTAATTTTTTTGTAGAGACAAGGTCTCACTATGTTGCCCAGGCTTGTCTCAAACTCCTGGGTTCAAGTGATTCTTCCTCCTTGGCCTCCCGAAGTCCTGGGATTATAGGCCCAGACTAAATCTGATTTTTTTTTTTTTTTTTTTTTGAGGCCGAGTCTTGCTCTGTTGCCCAGGCTGAAGTGCAGTGGTGTGACCTGGGCTCACTGCAACCTCTACCTCCTGGGTTCAAGCAATTCTCCTGTCTCAGTCTCCCAAGTAGCTGGGACTATAGGTGCACGCCACCATGCCCAGTTAATTTTTTGTAGTTTTGGTAGAGACAGGTTTCACCATCTTGGCCAGGCTGATCTCAAACTCCTGACCTCAGGTGATCCGCCTGCCTTGGTCTCCCAAAGTGCTGGGATTACAGGCATGAGTCAACGCGCCCGGTCTCTCTGATTCTTAATAAATGAAATCTGCCATCTAATTTTGAGTGGGCAGGTCTTAACCAGGTGTGGAGCTAAGAAAGCTTTGGAATTGACCTGTGCGGCTGCAGGCAGACAAGGGCAAAACCCACTCCAAGTCTGCAGGTCCTTGGAAATACTGAACCACAGATGCTTCACCACTTGTTCCATTTGCCCGGACCCCAACCCCCTGCACATGAAGGAGCTGCAGAAGTTGCCAGAGACCAGGGAGACCACAATGCAAGCTTCTCCCCATGGGACGCAAATTAGGCAGGTGTTTCCCCTCCCACATTAGCCCACGATCTGTCAGATTACCCCGCTACAGAACCTGGGAAGACCTCTTTCTTCCTGACCTCCAACAGATTCCTCTAAACATGCACGTTTCATTTTTAACAGCTGAAAACAACAGTGCCAATCCACTCTTACTTTCCCCAAGCCACAGTTTTTGCATACATGAATGAAAATCCAATCTATCACTAGCCTCCCGGAGCCAGGTGGGGCAAGAAAGGAAACAGCTTCAGAAAGAGTATTGTCAGGCGGCTCCCCACAGCAGCACCGCCAAGAGCAAGGAAACACTTCCCACGTATTCCTCTAACCACTGCCTGACGTTATACCCCCGTTGGAAGGGAGTGGCTGGAAACAGCTACTGTTTAGGAGGGTGTGCACACACGCCGTGGGGTTCCCTCCCAAGGACAGACCACCAGGGGCTCGGGAATGGGCAGAGTCCTACCGAAAAGGCCATGGGGCTCCGACTGGCGCCTCTCCGTGCTTCGATTTTGGTCCTTGTGTTTCTTGTTGCTCCTGAGACTCCCAAAGCGCCTCATGGGTAGCTGTGGCCACAGGAGTGGCGACAGGTGAACATATCAGGACCCACAGAACCGGTGTCAGCCCCAGGTGGCAGGGAGCCAGAGGAGCATCAGCCCGACAGGCACGGGGCACCCCAAAAGCTCACAGTGGCAGCCTGTGCTCAGGTGACAACCCGGGTCCAAGCGTCCTCACCAGGGGGTCTTCAGGGCGACCTCACCGCAGCCCCAGAGTCTGTGAGGCGCCAGGGAGTGGAGCCGTCCTGACGGGGCTGCACCTCCGGCCACAGCAGCTGGAGCGTCAGCTCGGCTGTCCTTAAGTAGCAAGAAGCTGCCGGAAGCGCAAACAGAACTTCGCAGGGGATTTGTTGATGTAGTTAAGGTCAGCTGCTCACTGCTACTCTCCAGGGCTTTTTTTTTTTTTTCTCCTTAAAATTAAAAAAAAGGAGGGAAGACCAGATAGGCAAAGGAGGCACAAGCCTGCAAGTCATGTGCAGCCGTGCATGATGTCTCTTTAAACAGACTGTAAAAGGAAACCACCCTGGGCAGACAATTCTTGGCACCAATTGGCCGGAGCACATTCCCATTGTGACATGACATCACACAACTATTTTGATTCATGGGTTCCAGGGCCCCACGGGGTCAGAAGGCTCCGGCTGCTGCTGGGTGGAGAAGCCACACAAGTCCCTGGGCTGGAAATTGCTGAATCTACTTTGACTCGGTTCCACTCAATGAAAGTAGCAGCGCCGTCTTCAAGGAGGGGATACGGCTGCCCGACTGGAATTTAACGGAAGGTCTTCAGCAAATGCGTAATTTGAGCTCTGGACTTGCTGAGAATTGCAGCCTGACAGAGCTGGAAGAGATTTTAGAGCGATCTAGTCCAACTCCCTTCTATGACAGATGGGGAAACAGGCTCAGGACAGGGAGCTGACTCCCCCAAGATCCTGTGGCCAGTGGTAGAACCAGGACTGGCGTTTTCAATCTCCTTGACTCCTAAGCCAAACCGCTGATCAAATAAAACCTAAAACATTTATAATTTGTATATATTTTGCAACTAAATAAAACAAATTTTGGAAGCACAAGATAGAAAAAAAAAAAATCCTCGACTTTTTGGCTGATAGCCTCACTAAAGTTATCTGCTTTGCTACTAACCAGCTTTGTGACCATCAAAGAGTTACTTCCCATTTCTGAACCTCAGTTTCCCCCTTAGTGAACTAAGACAAGACCGGGTCGTTTTAGGATTTAGTCTAGGACCACGCACAGTGGCTCACGCCTGTAATCTCAGCACTTTGGGAGGCTGAGGTGGGAGGATGGCTTAAGCCTAGGAGTTCAAAACCAGCCGGGGCAACATAATGAAACCCACATCTCTATTAAAAAAAAAAAAAGAGAGAGAGAGAGATTTAGCCAAGTTCCAACAGTCTGAACCTCTCACAGTAATTGATTCTTCTCAAATGACTATGCACATGAGGAGGAGACTATGTCAGACCAGTTAAATAACCCCCAAGCTAAAGATTAGTAGCCTGGGTTCTCCTGGCCGCCCATTAGGGTGGGATAACCTCCCAAAACTGCAACGCCATCAGTTGCTTCATTGGAATTGTTATTATCTACGGTTCGTCCGAAAACGAGGGGATGGGGTGTGCGGTGGAAGCACCCCAGCCACTTGCCACTGGAGCCCAGGCCTCCCCAGGAACCACGGGTCCAGCCTCCCAACTTGGGTCTGGCTGCTTTTCATGCCTTTTCTCTTGCCTCTTTCACTTGCAGGGCTCAGTGCCACTGGAGTTGTTGGCCCAGTCACTGCAGATGCCTGATGAGATAACGATGGCTCCAGGCTAGGACAGCAGGAGGGACACCAAGGGAAGTCTTCGATTCTACCCTGTGAGATGAACCCCTGGAATCTCAGCTCCCACCCCAGATCTGCCACTCCCATGGGGCTTCCATCCACAGAAGCCAGAGACGCCTCAGATATGCCATTCCCACAGGGTTAGCATCCACAGAAGCCAGACATCCCAGATCTGCCACTCCCATGGGGCCACAATCCACAGAAACCAGACACATCCCAGATCTGCCACTCCCACGGGGCCACCATCCACAGAAGCCAGAGATGCCCCAGATCTGCCACTGCCATGGGGCCTCCATCCACAGAAGCCAGAGATGCCCAGATCTGCCACTGCCATGGGGCCTCCATCCACAGAAGCCAGAGATGCCCAGATCTGCCACTGCCATGGGGCCTCTATCCACAGGGGACACACTCCAGCTCCCAAGAAGCCTGGTCGGCCCTGGCGTGGCTTCTGTGTGGCTGGAGCTGCTTCTAGCACTTCAGATGCCATTGACTGGTAGAGCAACTGCTCACGTGATTGGACCTGACCCATTCTGTCAAGATGTGTGAGTCTGTCCTTCCCCGCCTAGGGCACCTGGCCCATCTCTGTCTAGAGTGACCTCATAGTCATACCATTGCTTAGCAGATCAAGAAACTATGGTCTCAACTTTTCTCGTGCAATTTCTACCAAATGGACTGAGTGACAACTGTCTACTTGGTGCTGTGCTGAATGTTGTAAGGTCAGGAAGTCCTACAAGGCATGACCCAGCCTTTATTCATTCATTCATTCATTCATTTATATTGAGACAGAATTTTGCTCTTGTTGCCCAGGCTGGAGTGCAATGGCACAATCTGCAGCCTCTGCCTTCTGGGTTCAAGTGATCCTCCCACCTCAGCCTCACAAGTGGCTGGGACTACAGGTGCACACCACCACGCCCAGGTAATTTTTGTATTTTTTGTGGAGATGGGGTTTTGCCATGTTGCCCAGCCTGGTCTCAAACTCCTGGCCTCAAGTGATCCACCTGCCTCGGCCTCCCGAAGTGCTGGGATTACAGGTGTGAGCCACCACACCTGGCTGGAATTTTCTAACCTACCTGCTTTCATTTACACCATTTGCCCTGCCTCCTAAGCCCGTGGTTTTTAGCTCTGCCTGCTGAAACCCTGTGAAACCCTTACAGCCCAATTCAGAGACCGTGCCTTCCCCCAAGTGAAGCCTCCCTCATCACTCCCCAAAGAAGGGACTTTTCCCTCCTTTGAAAGATTTTAGCTCTTCTACTCTATATGTGAATGTGGCCCTTGCCACAGAGAAGACTGGGAACCCCAAAAAGGTAGGGGCCCAGGCCTCACCCATCGTGGGGATCTCCCAAGCCTCCAGCAAGGCATCTACTTTGGGAGGCACTGGACAGTCACCCTGAACCCCTGCAGTCCCTCCAGCTGCCCCTGCTCCCTGGTGGAGCCGACTGGAGGGGCTTCACGGCCAGGCTCCTCCCAGGCTGCTGGTTAGCTGCAGCCAACAGTGGGCACAGCAGATGCCAGAAGGAGGGAGGAGCTGAGGCTGTCATAGCCCCCTACATCCCTGCAGAGTCACTCTGGCCTCACTGTGTCATCTCCCAAGGGAAGAATTCAGCTCCTCTCAAAGAAACCCTCCCCCAGCCTTCTGTCTTGGGTCAGGGACCAGCTCCTTCATCGTTCGGGCACAGCACTGGCAGCAGCCCTGCTGATATGAACCTGAGTTACTACACCAGCCCTGGGGGTTCCTGGCAGCCTGCCCACACCTTTGAAAGTAGTGTCTTTATTCAATTCTCCTCCAACGATCCAAAAAGTTCAGTGTGCCTCCTTTGTCCTGCTGGGACTGATAGATAGATATGGGGATCAGGTATTTGTAGCACGGATGCATGAATGAACACACAAAATAGGTCTTGCTCTCAGTGACTTTGCAAATGAGCTGGAGACAAAGATAAACAATGCTAACTGCATGCAAAAGCTGTGAGTATGTGAGCTGTGGCTGCAAGTGTCGCCAGCACAAAGGAAGGAGAGGAGAGGGCCCGTGTGGCCCTGCCTGGAGAAAGGGAACTTGAGATGGGCCTTTGGGGTTGGAGGGTGTGAAGAAGAGGGGAGAACCCAGGCCAGGCCAAATCAATGCCTGGAGTGGAGGACCCCAGCCTTCAGAAACAAGCCACAAAATCTACCGCCAGCTGGGTCCTCGGTATACTGTTGGATGATTTCTGTTGTTAAATACAGTAGCCCAAACGTACTGTGATTAAATTCTGGAAGTAGGTAAGTTTAGGAGTTTCATGTGTAGATGTCTTTTTCTTTTCTTTTTAAAAAATCAGCTTCTAACAAAAATTGTTTTCTCAAGCTAAAAATAAAATAACACCCAGTGTGGTGGCTCACACCTGTAATCCCAGCACTTTGGGAGGCTGAGGCGGGAGGACTGCTTGAGCCCAGGAGGTCGAGGCTCTAGTGAGCCATGATCCTGCCACTGCACATCAGCCTGGGTGACAGAGTGAGACCCTGTCTCAAAAAATAAAATAAAATAAAAAACAAAATAAAATAAAATAAAATAAAACAAAGCAAAACATCTTTATGAAAAGACCTGAACAAGTATCCCAATAAGAAAGAGGCAGATTTGATTAAAAGGCAAATGAAAAGGTTTTGTTTAAGCCAGTGTACTATTCTTACACCATATAATACAATGGACAGAAAGAACATTTCAAGGCCGGTTGCGGTGGCTCACACCTATAATCCCAGCACTTTGGGAGGCCGAGGCAGGCAGATCGCCTGAGGTTGGGAGTTCAAGACCAGCCTGACCAACATGGTGAAACCCTGCCTCTACTAAAAATACAAAATTAGCTGGGCATGGTGGCGCGTGCCTGTAATCCCAGCTATTAAGGAGGCTGAGGCAGGAGAATCGCTTGAAACAGGAGGCGGAGGTTGTGGTGAGCCGAGATCACGCCATTGCACTCCAGCCTGGGCAACAAGAGCAAAACTCTGTCTCAAAACAAAAACAAAAACAAACAAAACAAAAAAAAGAACATTTCAAAGTTTAGTGACTGAAGGTAAATGTATTTAAATTTGTGTGGAAAATAACCAGCAACTTAGGTAGGCCTGTTGGTTCTGTGCTTGAGTTTAAATGGTCATTCATTCAACAGGTAGTTATTAAACCTCTAGCAAGTGTACAGGGCAGTTGTTGATTGAAGGGATGGGGTACTACAAATAATTCAGACATTCCTGTCCTCTAAGAACCATATTTTATTACTAACATAATAACTCCCATTTACTGAATGCCTAGCATACGCCAGCTGGGGTGCTGGTCACCTTACAGTTATTATTTTATTTCATTCTTCCCACACATGAGCAGGGTAGGCATAATTAACAACATTTCATTGAAAGACGAATAACTGAGGGTCAGAGAACTAGTTTGACCAGGATGGCACAGCTGGCAAGTTGACAGAGGATGGACTTGCCCCTCATGTGGACCCCTGATTCCCAAATTCACATCCTTCCACTATTCCATACTTTCTCATCGATGTGCACGGGAAAATTCGTCAGCCATTGAACACCCTACCCTGAATCCCACAGGACTCCCAAGGACCACTGCGGACTGAAGGGATTTGGAAAATAATTTCTTTCTACATCCTGAGTTTTGATTTCAGGCTGGGAAATTAAAAGGCAAAAGCAGCAGCATGTTTAAAAATCCTGACTACAGCGCATGCCTGTAATCCCAGCACTTTGGGAGGCCGAGCCGGGTGGATCAAGAGGTCGAGAGATCGAGACAATCCTGGCCAACACGGTGAAACCCTGTCTTTACCAAAAATGCAAAAATTAGCTGGGTGTGGTGGTGGGCACCTGTAGTCCCAGCTACTCGAGAAGCTGAGGCAGGAGAATCACTTGAACCTGGGAGGCGGAGGTTGCAGTGAACGGAGATTGTGCCACTGCACTCCATCCAGCCTGTGCAACAGAGCGAGAGTTCATCTCGGAAAAAAAAAAAAAAAGTCCTTATTTGCATTAAAGCCATCTCGTAACACAGACTGGACGAGTCAGGTGACCTGCCACGTGGGTGCACCATGCTCTGGAAGCACAAAGCCGGCCGCTTCCTCCCCGAGGCCACTTCGAGGTGGCCGAGCACAGAGGTGGGGCACGAAAAGCTCCTCACTGCTGGGGTCTTTCTGTTTGACTAAACAGGCCTGAAATTCCTCACATGAGGGACAAAGCTTTGGATCCCATGATTAGTGATGAACGCTGATGGGCTGGGAGAGGTGGCGCCTTCCCATTGCAGGGCAGGGGCTAAGGACCCGTTCTTTGGCACATGTGGGCGGGGGAAAGTTGACCACTCACAGGTGGACAGGGACACCAAACCCCCTCTTCTGTTTCCGCCAGCCGCTGGTCCCACATGAATACAGGGGAAACTCGCTGCCACACCTGTGACTCCGCTCAGAGTTCGTTCTGACAGAATGCTTTCCACACTCAGAATTCTTTTTTGAAGGGAGGGGCTGAAAAAGGAAGGAACGAATGGCTCCCAAATAGGAACCGTATTTTCTAGTGTATTTTAAAAGGGCCAGGGCCTTTTTGGATCACAGTTTAAAACTCACACCCCTGGTTGGTGCTGCAACCCAAAGCCTGGCACGGGACCAGGTAACTGGGGTGCCAGATGCCTTTATCTCTTAGCAATGCCCCGTGCTGTGTGGCCAAGGCTTCCAGGTCACCATTCCAACACTAGGTTTGTAAGATCTGGGAAGGGGTGACATCAGAGCTCAGCTCATTCAACGCATGTTCTTTACATGTGTCTTCTGGTGGCTGTTCTTTAGATTTCTGACTACAAACCTACCTTTGACAACTCGAAAAATAAAACAGTGTGGAAGAACACCACCACGAGGCGTTTCACACTGTTAGTGTGCTTCATTGTTTTCTGGCTTTTGGTTTAATTTTCTCCCCAGTGAGACTGAAAGCTCCCCCATGGCAGGGATCTCACCCACAGAAGAAAGGAAAGGAGCGCTTACTGAGTTCCTCCAGGTGACTCAGGAGCAGCACGGTGGGCCAGGGAACAGCAAGCCAGCTGCTGCTCCACGCTCGGCAACCCTGGGAGCAGCATGTCGTGTTCCTGGGGGACACTTTGGCGGCTGTTCTGGAGCCAGGGAGTTTGTGCTGACTGTTCCCCTGCCCTCGGCAGGGCTTCAGGCTTGGCCAGCCAGGGCTGGGCTGCAGGAGGCCATGGCACTGGGTCCCATTCACTCTAATACTTGGATTCTACCAGGTGCGCCAGCACCCCCATCTGGATGCTGCAAAACATTCCACAGCCAGACTGTGCACTACACAGCGGAGCTGGGGGCGAGAGAGGTGAGGAAGGAGAAGTCAGGGGAATTGCAGATGGGCTCGCAGATGGAGCGTGGTCACCCCTGCTTCCTGTGCATTAGGATAAATGGCGCGAAGGTGTCCACCCTTCCACGAGAGAGACGTGACGGCGCTCCTGTGGCTCTGATATGTAACCCCCACCCCCAAACTCTGGTGACCCAAAACATGTGAGTAAACCCTTTAATTGCTGGAGGTTCTCCACCGGTGCCCCGGGGGCCACATTCCAATGGCATGGGAGAAGTGCTAGGACATGTGGCACATGTTGTCCCACTAACCTGGTGCTAGTCCAGGCTGCAGGTTGGAGCCCCACCCCAGCCTT